ATACCTAGTTAAAATATTCATTTATTGATAATAGTTTTCGATAAAATATTTTAACTAAGAAACTTAAACCGGTCATGTCATCGCCCACTGTCTGATGTTAAGTAGTTAAACAACAAAAGTTTAAAGTAAAGATGGGTAGTGGCTAACAGTGGAATCCAAGACGCACGTTTAGTTCTATTTGGGACGCGTCAGCTGGATGTACTTCCATAGCAGAGTTAATGTTCACTCCGGGACTCAAACCCAGTGCCGGTCACTTCAAACTATTCAGTATAATAAAAGAGAATCTTGTCAGTTACAAAATATAACTGCCTTCCGAATGGAAACTTCATAAATCGGTAAAGATTACGAGATGCAAATGGTATCTTATTACGTAAGCAATATGATACAAAACTTTATATTTTATCATAACTGTCATAATCTCTTAGAGTATGATTGTATAAATGTTCAGTGATTTTATAGGTATTGATGAGGATAGACTAACTTGATAGTCTCCTAACACTTCACAAACCGATAAATTTAGGAGTTGCAAATAATCGTTTCTAAAAAGAAATGCTTAGATTTTAGTTGATAATTCATAAAGTATACTATTGTGTAGAAATAAATTACACTTATCACCAATGCTATCCAACCATCAATGCATATTATCATGAAAAATCGGAAGCTGTACACTTGAAGTACCGAACTTATGGTCCGTGGCCTAAAGGCATCTTCCTCGTTAAGATACCTATCTATCTTGGATTCGACCTTATTTAGAGTCTTGAATGGATATCACAGGGGGTAGATCATTGTAAACCGAAACACCTTCCCAATCCCATGTGGTTCCTAATTTTTTAAAATTTATTTAGTATTTCATGGTACCTATACCCACCCACCGATTATGAAACCCACAAAGAATCACAGCACGATTACTTCTGGATCGAAAAAAACGACAAAAATAATTCACAAAAGTGATGCATGGAATGTATGGAGTTGCTCCCTACGGGGCAAGCTCCAACCGATTGCAAAAACAGATGTTCTAGCCCCGATAGTTGTAACGTGCTTCAGTGTGGCATGTTTCTTTCCAATAGGGCCTACTAGACTTCATCAACATGTTTGGCTGGAGGGGGGACATGGTAACAGCTAATCTCATAAATTTTTTTCTCATAACTAAGAAAATAAACGTAAAGCATTATAAATTCCATTGAATATTTATGTAGAATTGAACGTGATTAAGGACAATAGAAATATCAAAGTGATCTAATTATTTTTTAAATTTTATTTCTGTTTTAAATGAATTTTCATATTTGTAAAACAATTAAAAACATTTTTAATGTCTTTAATCGATCCATATCCAATAATGAGTGAAACCAATTCAATCACTTCATGATCTCAATCATAAGCCAATTCAATTTAGAATGCACCTTTCAAACGTGATCATCATATTGATTACTTATTTTCATGAAAAATAATACAGGTGTACGGTGGCGCAACTTCGTGTATTGGTTGAAGTTAGACATGAACACCGTTGGATGCCGGTTCAGTGGTCTGGCGGTTAAGTGCTCGCGCGCGAGGCCAGTAGGTTTTGGGTTCGAATCCCGCGTGGTGCAGGATCGTGGACGCACACTGCTGAGGAGTACCGTACTAGGACGAAACGGCCGTATAGTGCTTCCAGGTTTTCCATGGTGGTCTAACTTCAATCGACTCATGATCTCAACCACTGAACTTACCATAATATCCATAAAACCCTTCTGATATGAATTATTTTGATAGTCCAAAAATTACGAATATAAATAAAGTAAAGATTCTCATTCAAATATTCAGGTAAAATGACTTTGTACACTGACTCTCTTTACCATTATTATTGACATACAACACTACAGAGTGGGAAATAACAGAAGCTCTTTACAAGATGTTTCTAAAATACATTGATTAATTGTTGCGTAATTATTATTAAATGGATATGTTATCGAAATAGTTTACTAATTCTTTGATTAGATATGATATAATTACATAACCATTGGTCTATATGTCTTTAATCTGCTATAAATGTTTAATTTGATCGTTATAATTACCTTATTCAACCCCTTTCTAATCGAGATAAATAAAAGTCTTATAAATCATTTCACCATTCAACACAACTTTTCTTTTCTTTCTCCAAATTGTTTAACTATTAAAAAGTTATGAACATTACTGATTCATTTTTTTTTCCATGATCGATAAAGCAAGCTTTATTCCCAACCATTGAACGGAAACTCATCTTTCCTATGAGTATGAGGTTGTGGGGATAATTAAGATTTTGATTGGGATCATAAAACGACTGATGTTAGACCTTCATTGAAAACCTGGAAGCACTAGACGACCGTTTCGCCCTATTGTGGAACTCCTCAGCAGTGCGCATCCATAAGTCCACGAACGGAATCGGTCCATGATCTCAATCACCATCTTTTGTAGTTTATATCACGGATAGACCTAAGACAACACTGTCGCTAGGCATTAAATATAAATTATTAAATAGTCAGTCAGTTGCGAAGTAGGACCAGGCACATACATGCATCGGTCCAAGTTGCCACACCACAGTAGCACAGCAAGACGAACAACAGATTCATAGAAGCAGTTAACTCAATGGTAAACTGCACATCTTAGCTAAACCACTGAAAAAAACTAGAAAATATTTGATATTGACAGACGATTGTTTTTCAAGTACACTTACACGCTCGAAGAAGTAGTTAGAAAATTCATGTTACATTTAGCTGTATTTATATATACACCTAATCTATAATTCATGTAGTCAATCTACAAAAAAAGATAACTCTTTATCACACTCTTATTCTCTGTCGGAACTAATAAAACCAGATCTATAGAGTTTTACTACTTAAATTATGAACGATTGTAATCGATCAGCAACAGGAACTGGTTATCAATCAGTGATCAGTCAATATTGTTTGACAAAATATTGCAGAAACTAAGTTAGGTAGTAAACTTCAACAAAGAAAAGTAGTGGAGAATTTCTTTCTAATAATCTGTTGTAGTTTACCTTCAACCCATGACTGGGAAGATATCTACAATGGAAAATTTCCATACATAACGAATCCTTAGCCATCACCAAATGAATAGTGAAAGTTGATACGAAAAGCTTTAGCTACTGATTAAAAATGTAAGTAGATGAATGCTTTCTAGACAAATATTCATGTTCACTAGACAAGGTCCAGTATGTTGTCATAAACAATTATTTGTGCGAAAATGGATACCCTCAATCAATTATAAAGAAATATAGCGTCAAATACCAAAGTAAGACGAAATAATACAAACCCGAAAACAAGAATTTTCCTATTCGATCGTCATTCAGAGGTGACCAAATAATCGGGAAAATCCATAAAATACTAAAATCAGTTTTGAGAAACACATTCCCTGCTACGAAGTAGATACTACTCTACATAATCCTGTGCTTAATAACACAAACAAAATCAGATGGATATCCGTCATATGTTGCCTCCAACTGCATACTAGTTTACACGAAACATGAAGAACAGAAAAAAGGTTTTCTCATTTTGATGAGCGTACTTAAAAAAACATGACTCCGAGAAAACTGTCTACAAAGTTCACTAGCACACCGCCTACTAGTTTACCAGGCATAACGTTATTCAAATGAATTCGTTCAAGGTTATCAGCAGACAGTCCAACTCCACGTTACTAAATCTCCTGGAAGCTATAACAGTTTAAGGGCTTATACCTGACTTTTGTATCCGAAATGTTAGTAGTTAACCTTCCGTTTTTTTGATGACATTCAGACCTCGCTTTACTTCGATTAATGGTAATCACAATCTATTAAGTTAAACTCATATGTTTGTTTTTCCAAAAACTCCATCACATTGCGTAATAAAACCATCTTAATATTCTAGAACTATCACCTCAAGCATTTATAAAAAGAATATCCATTCAAAACCTTAATGCCCTTAACCATTTACACATTTCACACGATTTGTTCGTTACTTCATATCAGGATTTTTGTGAATATTATAGTAATTCAAATGGTTGAGATCATGAGTCAATTGAAGCTAGACTACCATGGAAAGCCTGGAAGCACTGGACGGCCGTTTCGTTCTAGTATGGTACTCCTCAGCAGTGAGCATCCACGACCCCGCCTCGCGAGATTCAGACCCAGGATCTATCAGTCTCACGCGCGAGCGCCTACCAATAAGACCACTGAGCCAGCATCCAACAGTGTTAATGTCTAACTTCAACTAATCCACGAAATTGAGCCACACATCCACTATTGTCTTCAGTGAGTTACTATCTCACAACAGACTCAGTTGAACTCCATAGGTCACTGCGTCTCACTAGAACTCAAGGAAATACCTCTTGGAGCCAGATTTCAATGGTCTAGTTTCAACTGACTCATGATCTCAATCATTGAAATTATCCGTTACTGATTGACAATTCATCTTTTAACATTATGCTTACTTTATTTATTTGGAATACTTTATTACAGTTGTTTTCGCTGAACATTTTACAATTAACAGTATATCACAAATTATAGTTTAAGGTTTAAATTGTCATGTTATGAGATCGATCGCAGTTGTATTCAGTATTTAACTTCTTTTAAAAAAACACAGTAAGCTTAGTGTTATTCTATACTTCCGTTTTATGACATCACTTGGACATTGTTTTTATTTACCTTCATCTACCTTTCATTTTGTTAATTCTCTCACTTGTACTCATTTGATATGTAACAGCTCGAGCTGATACACATTCATGTTAGATCCTACCTTGTCTATGACCAATTTCAAACTTGTATTACGGAGTCATTTATGAACAAAATAAAAGTCAACGTTGAAAATTATAGTAATTGCAAGCATCTATATACATGATCAATTATGTGAACAAGATAATATTCATCGAAAATTGCTAAGCAACCCATTAAAAAAAAAGAAGATTAAGACTTAATTAGAAAAAAAGTCGAGTTTATCATTATATGTAGAATACTATTTCTTGTATAATCCATCGACTTTTAATTCGTAACTCTACGATTTTTCACCGTGTTGATTTGATTGCTGAATTGTTGATGAAATTGGTTTTACAAATGAATCAATATTTGAAGGAATAAATCCTTGTTGACTAAAACCTACACCAACATTTATTTCACTACCACCCAAAGGTTTACCATTTTGTATTTTATCAAATGATAATAAACTACCGAATAGAAAATGTTGAACGACTGGAAATTTTTCTAAAACCTAAAAATTATTTTAAAAAAAGAGAATCAACTTGAGAGATTGGTTGCTATGGGAAAATATGATTAAACTAAACAAAAGTTAGATATTAGAAACTACGAACTGAATAGAGACAGTATTTAAAAAGCATAATATAGTCTGACTACGGTTATTAGTTAATTACTTTTAAGTAGTTGGAGACAAAAAGAAGTCCCAACTATTGGTTTACTCATACTAAAGTAAATGGAGTGGCCTTCGAACGTGACTGGCTTTTCTGATTAGCACTTAGCAATGCATCGTTAACTGGGTCAAAGAAAATAATGACGAGAATGTACTCATTTCTCTTGAAGTACATTCACAGAGGATTCTAGCGAGATAACTTCATCATTGATTTGAGTGCATCTCAATGTGTAGAGCTATCACCTTAAAGCCAAAGGTTATATATATATGTGCAATTATTGGAACGTAGTTTTTTAGTTGATCAGAATGTTCTTTAAGTCTGGCTAGGCAGTATTGAGAAGAAGAGGATAGATTACGTTTATCGTTCACAGCAAGTTATGTTGAATCCTGTATACCAACCGATAAAATCTATGTTTGCTTTAACATATAACTGATGTATCAATAAAAAGGCATTGATTACAATTTAAAAAAAGAAAATCTACTGAAATGAGGAGCTGAGCATATAAGTAACTTACTTCACCTTTATACATTTTAATTAAACCAGAATTAACTTTCTCCCATTTCGGTACTTCACTAATTCCATACAACGTATGTGAATGTTCTTCAAATGGACCAGTTTTACACTAGTAGTAAATTAAGGGAAATTTAACAATTTAATATTTGAGAATTTCTATAGTTTTCAAAAATTGGATTTTACATAAAAGGGTATTCCATGATGAAGTTTTCAGTCAGTCAGTGACAACGTAGAACTTCGTACGTACGTACATCATTTCGAGCTGCCATACCACATTAGCACAGAGATGCAGTTGTCGATTCAAATCTCGTAGTGGTAGAGGTGGCAAGAGTATAAGCAGTAATCGGAAAGATTAGTGTTTGAAGATGTTATTCAAGGAGTATCATAAGTGAAATAAATTTGGAAAGAGGAAAAAAGAAACATGAAGAATTCAGAAGATTAGAATTTACTTATTAATATTTATTTGAACACCTAAATATTGGTACAAGGGGGCACCAAATATATATGCGCCACACAAAACAATGAGGATGAGGAGGAAAAAGGTACGGCGTGTAAAAGAAAAAAAGAGGAACAATAACGACCAGATTAGTGTAAGGCAGTGTAATAATAATAATAATAATAATAATAATAATAATAATAATAATAATAATAATAATAATAATAATAATAATAATAATGGGGGAAACGGAAAGGTACAGTCGGAAGAATCCTTCCAGTTTAGGAAGATACAACCACTTTTTATGAAGAAAGTAAAAGAAGGTTACAGCAGGGTTGCCACTGGCTTCTATTCTGAGCCATATCTGATAACGTCTCTAGCCACTATGTTGAACTACCTCTAGGACCCCAGCCAGGGAGGCGTGAAGGACCAACACAAACCAGCCCTTTGCAGCTTTCTTTCATACCCCGACACCATGTCATACACTGATCGCCCCCAAATGCCCTGGTACGGCCGAGAGTGGGGAGAGTCCACTCTCCCTCTCGAACTACTCTCACACGGCCACGCGTATATAGCCTCTGCCAGGGAAGTCCTACTCACTGCCTTCTCGTGGCGGGGGTGTTGTTTACGAAAATGAGAGGACGAAAAGAGAATGTCCGGCGCTTTAACCGGATTCCAAACCAATGGTGCACATGGGCTCCAGTATCCTGCGGGAACAAATGGCGTATGAACCAACTGTTGATCACCGGCTTCCATGGGACTGAATCTCCTTACGATGCTCCACTGCCTTGTGGATCAGACCTTCAGGTCGAAGGCTCGGGGTGTGGCCCCCTAAGAAAACCACCTGCTTCGGTTTGGGCACCCGGGCAGTATCACAGCCCTCACACATATCTAATGAGATTTGTGTGGCGCATATGTATTTGGTGCCTCTTTGTACCATTATCTATGTGTTGAAATAAATAATAAAAACATACACTGATCACTCTCCGCTTCCTCCAACCAATCCCAGCGTTAACAAATACTGCACGACGTGGAATTATCTGGGACGGCATTCGTAGACATGTCCAAGCCACCGAAGTCGGTGTTTCAAGATGGTGACACCAATCGCTGTTGTGACTGGAACTTGGATCGATTTTTACCCAGTGCTAATTGTTGTGTGCTTGACTGAAAGATTAGAGAGCAGTGTATTATCGATCGGATTAATGACACGTAAACACGCACGAACGGCCTAGAGTTCTGATTGGCCCTGCTTCCCTGTCTAGCTCAGCCAACTGAGTCCAGAACACAAGTCACAGCCTCTGGGATATGAATCATTGTATTTCAGGCATACTCTGTTTATATACCAATCAACCCGACCACAACGTACCAATAAAATAGAAAATAACGTTTGTACAATAATTAGCCAGAAGTGGCTGTGAATGAGGGAGGTAACGATTAACAGATAGGAAATAATTCATGAATGGTAAGTCGTACAATAGTAGTTCACAGCTCAACATAAAGCTCATAATAAGAGGGACATGAATATGAGCAGTTTAGTTGCATAACAATTATACGATAAAAATATACTCATAATATTGGTCCATAAATGGATCCCAAAAATTACCATTCATTATTCTTATCGAGACACAACACCTTCCCTTTTTTGAAGATCTGGATTTCAAATTTTATGGGTTCATCCTCCCCCACGAAACAGTGTTGGATCCTCATATCCCCAAGTTACAATTAATTCGACTTTATTTAAAACATGTTTCTCGCATTGAATGTAGAATCCACTAGAAATGACTAGATGGTAATGAACAACCTTTGATTTGAGCTCAGAGTTTGCTTCTTCTGAAACATTATTTTCAAATTCATTAAGAATCTCATCAGCGGATAATGGGTCGTTAGGAAAATCAACATCAAAGAAAATTAAATTAGATCTTTGACCATCATTTGAATCAGCCTATATATTTTCCTCATTTTTGTAAGAAATTTCATCAAAATTATGTGCATTATTATCAGAACCTATATCTGGTACATTGTCATTAGAAACTGGATAAGTTGATTCAATATAAATTTCTGTTTCTTTGTGGGCGGTTACTGCAATAACGTTATGAGCATTTAACAAGAGATCGTCTTCCTGTGAGCTGGACAATCAAGTGTCTGTACATAGTTTTTCGGACGCAATGGGATTTGAGCCCACGACAGGGCATGTTTCTGAATCGGACATTTCTGGACAACTGGGTGGAACATGAATGACTGCCTCACTTACACTACTGCTCGTCCAGGATTCACAAAGGCTTTTATAGACACCTTCATATGTTCCGCAGTTATTTTCCAGCTCAGTATGCAGATGAGAAACTAATTCACCAACTTCTGTCGCATCTCCGAAACATGGAAGATTTATCAGCCATGTGAGTAAATTTTCTAAAAAATTTAACTGGCTGTTTTTCAAAAGCTGCTGTTGTTGCTCAAGTAGCAGCTGTAATTGATCGGAAAAGAAAGCCATTTTCTGAATCAGCAGGGTAATGCGAAATACTGTGTGATCAATTGACAACCAATGTTTTCTAAGAACACCGACGATCAATCTGGATGCTGATTGCTCGAAATAATTAGACGGAATTTCGTCCAATTACAGGCTGACCATGAAGTTGAGGGTTCAACATTTTTCTCTACCCCGTCGTCAATTGTTGTAACGTGAGACTACAGATTTGGATGCGCAGCGCAACTATCGATCGGATCAATGACATGTAAAACACGTAAGAACGATCTAGAGTTCTGATCGGGACACAACAATTGCATTATCGTCTCTGTGCGCGAACACACGATACCGAACCTCTGCATTACTAACATGGTGTTGCCACTCGATGTCAGCAATCCTTCGGAGACAACGATTATCAAACACAGAGAGTCGTCTAAAATCCTCAACTCGGAGAGGCCAGGTTTCACAAGCACAGAGCAGAACTGCTCTCACCGACGCGTTATAGATCCGACCTTTTACAGCCAGACTAACATCACGAATGCGCCAAAGATGGCTCAGATTGGTATAAGCCGCAGGTGGTTTTCTTAGGGGGCCACACCTTGAGCCTTCGACCTAAAAGTCTAACCCACAAGGTAGTGGAGCATCGTAAGGAGATGCAGTCCTAAGGTAGCTGGTGACCAAGATTGGTCCATACGCCATTGGTTCCCTCAGGACACTAGAGCCCATGTGCACCATTGGTTTGGGATCCAATTAAAGCGCCGGACATCCACTTTTTGTCCTCTCATTTTCGTAAACAACACCCCCGCCACGAGAAGGCAGTGAGTAGGACTTTCCTGACAGAGGCTGTATACGCGTGGCCTTGTGAGAGCATTTCGAGAGGGAGGGCCGGCCCGCTCCACTCTCAGCCATACCAGGGCATTTGGGGGCACAAAGAGTAGATGCACCTACGCCATTGCAAACGATTTTGAGTCATGTCATTCAGGGTCTCTGACTATCGGTTGCTATCATCTCACGGTCCCCAACCAGGTAGTCTACACCTACCAACATATTTTCAGTGAACGAAATAGAGTCCTTTTAACGATGAATGAATTTACATTGTCTTTTGATGCCACATTATAAATAACAAGTGCTAGAGTAAGTCATCATAAGCTCTACCTACAACCAACAAATATATTTGAAAGTACACTTCAACGTGTAACAACGTAATAAAATATGAGCAAACATAAATCAAAACATTATGCGTAAATGTACAAAATTACGTATCAAACAAAACTGCTACACTTCACAATTGACGCATTACTGTGCAGTGAACAATGTTACATTAATCTAATCTTTTGCCGCTGAGCAGATTCTATCAACTAAATTGCAATGAAGCCACTAATTTAAGTGACCTAACGTCGTGTGCATTATGTTGAGATGTTAGTTGGTTGAAGATAGTCGGAAGGAAACTCTGGACTCAAGTTTTGTGTTAGATGACACTCTTCAGCTTCAATAGCTCAGTGTTAAAGTATCAGACTGCGAATCTGGATTATGTGGGTTTGAATACCACACATAGCATTAATTTCCTCAACCACCACCGACTGCCTCGACGTGCGATGTTCAGTGGTATAGAAGTAGGTTGGAAGAAAGCTAGGGGCGGCCAGACCAAAACATGGCACAAGTCCATGAAGTCACTGACAAGTGAACTGAACCATGTTGGTAGGTGTAGACTACCTGGTTGGGGACCGTGAGATGATAGCAACCGATGGTCAGAGACCCTGAATGACATAACTCAAAATCGTTTGCAATGGCGCAGGTGCATCCACTCTGTGTTTTCCCAAATTCTAATCTTCTGAATTCTTCATATCCCTTCTTTTTTTCTCCTTCCAAATTTATTTCACTGTATGATACTCCTTGAATAACATCTTCAAACACTAATCTTTCCGATTACTGCTTATACTCTTGCCACCTCTACCACTACGAGATTTGAATCGACAACTGCATCTCTGTGCTAATGTGGTATGGCAGCTCGAAATGATGTACGTACGTACGAAGTTCTATGTTGTCACTGACTGACTGAATTTCCTCAAGATTACTGGTACACTATGTTGATAAGTATCAGCTAGTATAAAACCTAGTTCCAAGGTTTCCTGTCAACTACTTTCTATCACTTAAAATGTCACACTTTAAATCAGCGAAATTAGGAGAAAATCAGCAAAAATAAATGTAAATGATTGGAAAAAGAAACTTAAAAGGAATAGATAAATGTTATAACGCTCGGTTTTCCACGTTTACACGTATAGGATGTTAATTTACCTTAAACGAATATCTACACTAGATTCTCTCCCAGTGTTTATTTTATAGGACTTCAACACAACTCAGACCAAGAACACGTGATTAGCCTGATTAGAACGTAAATAAATTTCCACACCAAAACCGATAACAATCAGACACAATCCAACAACAATTAACAGTCAGTCAATAATAATAAGGACAGGAGAGCATATAACTCATCTAAGGCCTGTCAGAATATATACAAGTCTGACTGAGCAAACAACTAATCATTATAATTCTAGCTCGCACATCAATAAGAAAACATATCTCAGAGACTTATATTCAGCACTGGAGTTATTATAAAAAATGAACCCAACTGTATACCAGTATGATTGGAATTGAATCTTATTACAACAGTGTCACATGATATTTTACGATGATGTTATGAATGAAAACTGAAAATTATGCACCTCCACAGTTGAGAACGCGGGTCGATCTAGGCTAGACCACTATTGAAAACCTGGAAGCACTGGACAGCCGTTCAATTATAGTATGAGACCCCTCAGTAGTGCGCTTCCATAATCCTGCACACAGGACTTCAACGCAGGACCCTCGGTTTCGCGCGCGAACACCTTACCTCAAAACCACTGAGCCGGCATTCAACGGTGTTAATACCTGACTTCGATCGATCAATGAACTTGTGCAACTCTTCGTTCATTGTCTGAGGTGAATAACTGTCAAAAAGTTTCACATCAACAAGCCATGACTTCAAAATTGATGCCTTTTTATAAAATGTCTGACTTTACTCTATGAACGATTACTCGGAACTTGAATGTAACGCTTGAAAGCCATGCTTTAACATAAAAAATAGACGGGTAGTATTAAACCACTGACCAACTAACATTACGTTAAAGTTGAACCATAAAATACAAATTCTTAATAAGGTATAAGCTATCCGTTGTGTTCTTAATTTCGCGCTAAAGCCCAAGAGCAGTTATCTTAGATCTGATTTGCGTGTCAAAGAAACACTCACTTACTATTACATTTTCTTAAGAAATATGAAATAAACTAGAAAAATGAAGGTCATGTATAAAACAGTGGTCCAATGGACATCTGTCTAAGGCATGGCCATGTGGTGGAGAAGATTTGTATCTCAGATAGATGATTTTGATGGAGTTTTGTTCTCTGAGCTGCATGGTTTGGTCGTGGAGCTTTCATCGTTCTTCTGAACGACATCATCAGCACAAAGTTCGGGTAGAAGCGAAGTGTTCGAATTTCTCCACATATGGTTCACAGCTTGTCCTGTACACCTCAATATTGATTGGTTCTTCTTGACCTTAAACCTGTCATTGTTAACTTCTTTGTTTTAGTTGTATCTCCCATCTACAAAAAAAAATTGTGCCTACTGCGAAAAACACTAAATCGGACAAAGCGGACACCCTCTTCATCTTCGCCTGCATGAACATCAATTGGCAGTCAAACGCCATGATATGTCCTCACTTATATCAATGAACGTGGACAACGGCGGACACATTCGAATGTGGAAGTTTTGTATAGAGACAACTCCAAAAACACCAGAGAATTTTTAGAAGCTTGACACTTGGGTCAATCAACAAGCACATTGAAATCGACCAAATTTATCAACCAATCAGAAAAATTATGAACAAACATAGAAACAAAAATCAAACCAATGGGGGATACAACCAAAATAAAGAAGTAAACAATGACAGGTTTGTTCTTACTTTATTCAGTCTTACAAATTGGACTTAGTGGACTCGAGGATGATAAGGTCAACAAGAACCAATCAATATTGAGGTGTACAGGACAAGCTGTGAACCATATGTGGAGAAATTCGAACACTTCGCTTCTACCCGAACTTTGTGCTGATGATGTCGTTCAGAAGAACGATGAAAGCTCCACGACCAAACCATCCAGCTCAGAGAACAAAACTCCATCAAAATCATGGCCATGTGTACAAACTTCCTTAGATAATTATATCGGTACACTTTCAACCTTACCACTTTCACTGAAAATCCGTGGGGTAAGGGTCAGGTGTAAGTCATTCAATTAGCTATAATGTAGAACCAGGCACATATATGTATCAGTCCAAGTTGTTACACCTCATTTGCACAACAAAATGAACACCAAATTCATAGAAGTAGTTAATTCAATGGTGGTAATATATAAAAGAAAGATTACATATAAGGATATCGTACAGAAAGAAAGAATTTGTTCGTAGAAAGAAAGATACGAGGTGATTATAATCTCATAGTTTAAGGGAAGACAGAGAGTGTAAGCCATGTCACCCAAAGTCTCTATCCATCAGTTACGATAGTCACGTGGACCCCAATCAAGTAGTCTGCATCTACCAACATGGCTAAGACTAGAAGTTAGTAACTTCAAGCACCGATGCGAAGTTTTGGCCGCCACTAGATTCCTCCCAAACGTCTCCAACACTAGTCAGCGTGGCGCGTTGTGGTAATCAGTGTTCAGGCATACGTAACACGTGACCCAACCATACAAGTCGATGAAGATTCACAACCTTATCAACTGATCTACCATCATTCACTAATACCCTACGTCTAGCCTCACTATTACTTACCCGGTGATCCCAGCAGATGAGAGTAATATTTCTGAAACATCTGTGATTAAATACTAGTAACTTACGAGTATCTTTTGCCATTAATGACCACGTTTCGCAGCCGTAAAGTCGAACATGACGAACTGCTGCGCAGTATACTCGTCCCTTAATTGATGGATAGATATCTCGCCTTCGCCATAGGTGGCATAATTTGGCAAAAGCCAAACGAGCTTTCTCAATCCGTTCTGAGATTTCGTCAGACACCAACCCATTAGGGCTGACCAGACTTACAAGATAAGTGAAGTTGTCGATGGAGGCCAGTCCTGTAGCAGCAATTTACATATAGAGGAGTGAGAAGCACATCGCAAACATTCTGACATTGTTGCCCAGTGCTACCAAAGGATTCTGCATTTTATCAGCATCCTCACCAAACAGAACTGTCATCTGTGTATTATGAGTCGATAAGTGGACCTCCGACTATAGTAGGAGATCAATTCCTGAAAATTCAGTCGACGAGCAAGTTATTTCTATCAGTATGTCTATGATGAAGTTGAAAAAAATTGGAGATAGTGGACAGCCTTGTGAGACACCACTTGATGTTGCAAAATCAGATGACAGTTCACCATAAGTTCTGACTCGAGTGGTGGTGTTCGACTAAAGAGCTTTCACAAGGTCTACGTACTTCTTAGGTACACCCTTCAATGACAGACACTGTAACAGAACGTCTCGGTCAACAGCATCAGATGCTGCTTTTAAGTCAAGAAAAACTACCATTGTCGGATGCTGATACATATGTCTGTGTTTTAAAACCTGACTAATGGTGAATATGTTGTCGATATAGGAACGACCAGGTCTGAAGCAAACCTGATGAGGTGTGCTATTGTTGCAGTCGATCTCTAATCTACCCTTCTATCTGCGAGAAGGCAGTACCAACAGTGAGGATGGTAAGAAATATCTCACTGTCACTACACACTTTAAACAGTAGTAAATTTTACCACTGAATTACAAATCTGCCGTTTCTGGTCTTCTTACAGCCTTTTTTCAACGTAGTATGACAAGAAATTAATGAAAATATGTTCCAGCTAATGTAGCTAGATTGAATCTTCACGATTAACAAGTTCAAATGCCTTGTTGAGGTAGAAGCTAAGGTTGGGAAGGATTAATTCATTTTTCCACAGGTAAATTTTTCTGTCTTACACATATAATATGGGATTTTATACACTGTCTGCTTGTTGCCAAGTGAAATCATAACAAAAATGATCATACAGACCCTTTACAATAAGTAATTAAAACTACTCACTTGATGAATATAAGAAATACATGAAAATAAAAGGTATTTATCTTTCTCCAATTCAACAACATCACGATCTGTTATCACGGTAGGATTGTGCTGACTGCCTGAAAGTTTTGAATGAGTTGGGAAAAAGAAACAAGTTAAATTTGTGGATGAAACTTCCCTTCATAAATTAGCTACTAAATATTATACAATATTATTGGAAGTTAGGATGTTTCAGGTAATTTATTACTAAATGTGAAGTACTGATATGTTGAAATTGCAGTAGCCAAGGAACATTATTCAATATGTAAGAGTGATGGTTAAAACATTTGAACTTTAACAATAAGGTTACGAGTTCGAACTCTTTCCCACCTGTTTCGACTTGTATAGTCAGGTAACAGCATTACACAAACATCCACACAAAACCAAAGTCTAACTCAAAGGCGACCACATATACATATGCTTGTTAATGGGTTATATGTATTATTTCTCCATCTTTGTATAGTTTAATACCTTTGTTTACCAGAGGAGGTATGCAGACCTAAATAGAGTAATAAAATGTACTTTTAAGAATTTATCACCTTTTCAAGTGAACAATTGAATACAAATTTTATAATAGTAAGAATTTACGACCAGATTATTTATACGATACTATGCTTATTAAAAAAATAGCAACCAGTTACCAATCAATTGACTACTGCCCCAAATGAAAGGTACAAATTGAAAATCATCCAAACACCATACACCATGAGAGCCAGCTGGCTCCATACGATATGTTGTTTGTAACAGACGAACTAATACTAGATACTTTGGCATTACAACAAGCCCAACAGCTAGGAGATCATTTATAGTTGATGCACCAGAATCAGTTTGTGTTTTTAGAATGTTCAGTTTGAAAAGGCAAGTTAAAAACGCTAAGAAAGCCAATTCATGACCAGTCCCGTAATCGATACGTGTTGAATTTCCAAATGATTCAACTAGATAACCAGAAACTTCGTCAACTGCTCCGGTGTATAACACTGAATGAAAATGGTACAATTAAAGTTTTAAAGTAATACATGTAAGTAAATTACATCGTCTAAATTTTTACATAAACTAATAATAAAATATTCAAAACAAAGTATAGATTGTACAGTTTTTGAGGTTTTAACGTGAAAAGAAATCCCTTGAATAAATGTACTCATAGTACAAGTTAAAATAAAAATGAATCCCATGAATGTTGATTAGAGATTCTAACCAAGCGTGGCTTGCATAGATCACATCCCAAAGCCTCTGACTTATAGGTTTAATCCAAAAAAAGCAATGAAGTCATATTATTAAATGGATTCTTAGGATATTCAGTGGTCATTTATTAATTCTTTTCAATCCTAGATCTCATATGTACCACTAGTTTGGAATCAAGGTTTTCCAACTCTCTTATACAGAAACTTCCACAATCAAATTAAGGTATTAAATGGCGATTCTCTAAAAAGAATTAAAATTATGCGGTGGTATGATAGAATCGGAATGAAAAGCGGACTCTTCTTGATGTCGATCGAATTAGGGCCTGTAGGGCAGGAGTTATTACTTGAAATAAGACGATATTCAAGTTGCAGTTAGATTAAAATGTACTTTCTAAATTGTAATATTAGTAACCATCGGGTAGAAACCAGAATTTTAATCTTAACAGTATCAGCTTTGCCAGAAAGTTATGATCTACAATGGAACGTAGAATTCAAAGGCAAAAGATGTGTGACAAAGTAAGCATATTTACTTGAAGAATTTAATTATGCTTAACTTTCTGTTGTACAATTATTTAAAGCGAACGGTATAATTTTTCGAGGTGGTCTTTTTTAAACCGTTAAATGGAGCTATTTTTTACGTATCAAAGCCATTTTAGTCATAATTATGCTGTGAAATGTTCGCTCTATTTCAACAGTATGGTTTTTAGTAGTTGGTACATAATTATAATTGCGTTCACTTAACATTGAATTGCATTTGTTAGGTGAAAGCTCAAAATATCATTCGTCTGCCCTTGACAGAGCCAGATTTAAGCCTATAGTTTAATGGTTGGGATTTACGTGTTTAAGCCATTCAGCGAAAAACGCATATCAACAGAAATAACATTTTGAGACCAGAAACAAATAACTTAAAGTTAAAGAAGAATTATGGATAAAGTAACAGGAAAATATTTTTCAACTTTAAACAATTGGTGAATCGCATGGACGTTCATTCAGTGAACCAATGTAATATAAAACTGAGCCAATATCTAATTAAATATATTTTTTGAGAATGAAGTTAATAAATTCGCATATTGGTATCTTTAATACCACTGTGAAAAATTAAAACAACTCTGCATGACAAAACTACCACTCTATAAGTGACATCAATGACTTGTTTTGAAAAACTAATCTTTTCATTTGTCTAAAATGGTTGAATAGTGGTCTTGAGTGCTGTTAGAGGTATGAGGGCGGTTATCACTTCCCGGTTGCCCACACCGTTGAAGGGTTGTTCTGAAGGTACCTGAAAAGGAAATTGGATTAAAGGTGGTCTTAGTGACCTGAGAGCGTGACCGCAGTGCCCAAGGGACAACTGCTTGAGGTCGGTCACACACGACCTTTTTATGGGTAATTTTTGTGTTAGCTCCGTACCTATTGAGACCTTACCGCCGGAGACGGATATCCGTGGGATAAGGCGAGGTGTGCATTTTTAGGGTTGACTTTTTCTAACCCCACCCCTCCTTGTGGAAAGGCAGCATCGCTGTCATGCTGGTTGTCTGAAGGAAACACCTTACTGCTGTCACACCTCTGTACAGCCAGCAGTACGACTTCGCCTTCGGACCTTAGGTTTGTTGCTTTTAGTCTTAAGGCTCTTCAACCGACCTGTCTAACATGGTTTATTTATTTATTTTATTTATTTCAACACATAGATAATGGTACAAAGAGGCACCAAATACATATACGCCACACAAATCTCATTCGATATGTGTGAGGGCTGTGATACTGCTCGGGTGCCCAAACCGAAGCAGGTAGGACCTTGAGGAACGGTTGTTCCAACCAGTATAGCTCGGTTGCTTCATCACGATAGGCAAGCCCGACCACCACGTCAAGGTAGTAACAACGGTCGGGAAAATGGTTGAAAGTTATTGTGACTATAAGAATTAGAGCTAGTAATAACTAAGAAATCAAAGCTATAAATAACGTCTCCATTGCTCTAGTTTACATCTTTTAAACTACATCAGTTTTGAATTAGATATACAGTTTGCTACAATATTGAATTTCTCGAGTGGATAAGGTAGGTCAAAGCTTTAATATCCTGCTATGAAATTAATTTCACCGATAATTTCAGTCAGTCAGTTAGTGTCAACGTAGAACTTCAGTTTTACACCAGACCACAAGAGCTGATGAAACTTCCTACATAAGTGAAGCGGTCGACACGCTCAACTAATTCACTCCCTATCATTAGTTCGGATCGATAATTTATAAAAGAATGAGCATGAAATTTTGTAAACTGCGAAAACGACATAAGTACTAATAAAAGTAAGGCCTTACAAAGGATACCGTCTTTCAAAATATAGTATTAAAAAAGAAGCGAAATCTCCGGAGAGAAACATAAATTCCTGCAACTTGTTAAATCTATGTATACAATGGAGAAAATGATATGCAGACTTAAGATTAAAATATAGTAATAATGTCAAAAATTAACAAATATACAAAATAGAAAGTCAGTCCAACTAGAACCAACACCACACTTTTAATATAATCATTTTAAGAACAACAAAACTGGCATTTGAAGTGAATACTGAGGAAGATTTTTCGATTTTAACCAATCAGTAAAAGACAATAAAAGACCTGGAACGACAATACATCCACTGAATTATCCAAAACTCACATTAATACCCAAAGAAAGGTATTGAGAAAAAATCAATATATAGGAATACAAAAACAAATAAAGTTAATATTTTAGTTTTACCATGAACTAACTTGGTGGATCAGTGAAATCTGTGGTACCATGATCATGAAAAATAGTTGAACCGATTTCAATGGCATTCTCTTGTAACCATGTAAACCATCGCCTAAATGCTTTATTTCCAAATCTCTGCGGCTGCTCGTCAGGTGGGTAATCTTTAATTGCTTGCTGTAACTTGTCAAGCATCTCACATACCAACATTATGGCCTAAAATATTTACATTTATAATAGTAACCTCCAAAATACCTTAGAAGATTTCAAATTATCCTGGATTGGACGAGAGACCAATTTACTATTGACACTATTTATTAGATTAAGAATCTCATTACAAGCGATAGAAGAAGTCCACTGACGTAAATCAGCTGGAGACACGATTCTTTTAGTTAAACCCATCTAGTAAGAAAATAAAAGGAATAAAGCTAAGGTGGTCAAGAACATAATTATATTGTCGATCAATACAAAGTTGACCATGCGCATTTTGAATTCTATATAATTACTTCTAACTATAATATGATGCTTTCACAGAGTGCAATAATTACAGCAAAGTGGCTATGAAAAACATAACTAGCTAACTAGATGTTATCCCAACCGTAGCTGCTACCCTGGCGTCGCGATCGAGAATGCCTATCGTGACGACACAACAGAACTATATTGGCTAGGACACATGCTCCTTTAGGTCCCACTACGACAGGCAAGTCGGTAGGAGAATGGTAAGATTAAAAGCATCAACTTAATGTCCGAGGGCGAAGTTGTATTGCTGGCTGTGGGGGGTGCAACAGTAGCAAGGAGTCTCCCCCGGATAACCGGTACGTGCGGCAATGCTGCCTTGTGATAACAGACGGAAGAAGTTAAAAAAGGATGACTCTAAACTGTCACACCTAACCTTAGCTCACGGATTCCCATATCCGGTAGTAAGGCCTATTGGAATTTGGAGCTAACACATCAAAAACTTCACATAAAATGTCTGAGAGAGACCGGCCTCAAGTAGTTGTAATTTGAACTCTGCAGCGACGTTCTCAAGTCATTGGAACAACCACTAATCCAGCTTCTTTTGCAGGTCGCTCAAGAGATATTCTTCCACGATGTGAGCAGCCGAGAAGTTACAACCACCCTTATGCTTCTAACAGTGCCCCCAGACCACCTTGTTCAGTCAGTCAATAACAACGTAGAACTTCGTACGTACGTACATTAATTCGAGTTGCCATACCACATTGGCACAGAGATGCAGTTGTCCATTGAAATCTCATAGTGGTAGAGGTAGTAAAAGTATAAGTAGTAATAGAAAATATTAGGGTTTAAACTATATATATATACTATATACTATATTTTATGAATACATAACATAATCAATGAGTAAGAACAATTAAATTAATTACCTACTTTTCAAATATACTAATTCAGTAACAGTATATATTTGCATAATAGTTGGAAGTTATGTTTTGTGTCGATAGTGTAACTTATCAGTTAGCCAAATCGACATAAATGGAGCATGGATTAAACCTGCAGCTCATTACTCGTACTTAACTTCGAAAAACATCACTCATATTACTACATTATTTGAGACTATTTCCCATCTTTAGAAGACTATAAATAGAAATGCCGCTTAATATGACCAACTTAAGCATAACGAACATTCTTGGCGGACTTCAACTTTCTGAGCTGTATGTTTTAATCGTGGAGCTTTTATTAATCACCTGGACATTATCAACATAAGCTTTAAGTAAAAGTGGGACAATCGAATTTCTCCACATATAACTAAAAGCTTTTCTGCAGACACTGATTAGTTATCATTAACCTTTAAAGTACATTAATCTGCATTATTATATCTTATCTGATATCACATCACAAAAGGACATGATATTTAAATCCTTTAAATGATGGTACATGCAATTTTGAAAATGTATTCAGAATGATCTGTTTACATGATTAAAGAGGAAATGCAACCTCAAATAACAGTTCATGAGAACCAAACCAGTGTTAATTAGGTTGAAATTTGGTTACAGTAAATTATTCAGTGTGAACACTATCCATGGTATTTTAATACAATTTAATGGTTTGTGTTGATGACAAAGACTCAGTTCAAATATTTTAATGTTTTATTGGCGTAAGCTCGAAAAACAAATGTAATTGGATTGATTACACTGGATGAAAATTAAGAAGTTTCATCTACGGAACCGGTGTTTAAACCCTACTTATTGGGACAAGAGAAATAAGAGGACAAAATGGTTTCGTTCACAGTCATCAATCGTCGTTGGAGGCTTGACAGGAGGATTCTGCTTGTTTTGGAGCACATATTCAGACTTTGATTATGCTTTAATACGAGCACGCATATGTTTGTGCGTCAGTGGATGACGAAGAACCACACTAAGACCATTCGAGTTGAACTCAGTAACGAGAAAGCCAAAAGTAGATTCCAGGAACAACGGAGGTTACACTTAGGCGATTCTGAAAACGAGGCTGACCCAGATGTTGCTCGGAGAGATATACGAACAGCAGTGGAAAATTAAGTGCCCTGGTTGTAGCTGAATCGACCACATAATCACCATTAGTCAGGTTTTAAAACACAGACATATGTATCAGCATCTGACAATGGTAGTTTTTCTTGACTTAAAAGCAGCATTTGATTCTGTTGACCGAGACGTTCTGTGGCAGTGTCTGTCATTGAAAGGTGTACCTAAGAAGTACGTAGACCTTGTGAAAGCTCTTTAGTCGAACACCACCACTTGAGTCAGAACTTATGGTGAACTGTCATCTGATTTTGCAACATCAAGTGGTGTCTCACAAGGCTGTCCACTATCTCCAATTTTTTTTAACTTCATCACAGACATACTGATAGAAATAACTTGCTCGTCGACTGAATTTTCAGGAATTGATCTCCTACTATAGTAGGAGGTCCACTTATCGGCTCATAATACACAGATGACAGTTCTGTTTGGTGAGGATGCTGATAAAATGCAGAATCCTTTGGTAGCACTGGGCAAAAATGTCAGAATGTTTGCGATGTGCTTCTTACTCCTCTAAATGCAAATTGCTGCTCCAGGATAATCTAGATTGGGTAGGAAACTTAACTAATTCTTATGAACTTAGGTCAGTGTTTGATTATAATTTACGAACATTTTGTTTTGTATCGCAAAATACACCTAATTTTTTTACCTGAAGTCACCGGTGACCCACTGCTTCTAGATACGTGCCCTCGTTAAGTGAAGGCTTCTACTTTGTTGAGAACTAGTTGAATACTCAAGGCCGTTATCCGCATCTGACCTTGTGTAGACTTTTTGCACATCAGTATTCAGTATTCAGTAATAAGGATATGAGGTCTGTCGACCTATATTAATCCTTGCAGTTTGTAGAGAATTTCGTCTATTTTGTTTGAAACTTTTTAATCTATCTATGGAATATGGGACCTATCCATCTGTATGGAAAACATCCCTTATCACCCCTAGATTCAAAACAGGACCACGTAGTTATATTATTAACTATAGGCCAATTAATTTAACATCCGTGCTAACAAGAAACATGGAAAAAATCATCCACAAACAGCTACTATCATTTTTACTTTCAGCTAGTCTGATCAGCCCATCCCAACACGGGTTCATGACCAAACGCTCATGTTTCACATCGCACCTGGAGTTTTTTGATCAAATTACCCAGAGAAGAGATGTTGGTCAGTCAGTGATAATTCTTTACTTCGATTTTAGTAAGGCTTTCGACAGTGTCTCATACAAACTTCTTCTTTTAAAACTCTCTTCATTTGGCATACAGAGTCCTCTTTTACCTTTGCTCAAATCTTTTTTTGAAGAACGTAGCCAAATCGTTCGCTTTGGATCTTGCTACTCTAAACCTGCAAATTTAACCAGTGGGGTTATACAAGGAAGTGTGGTTGGTCCATTACTCTTTCTCCTTTTTATCAATGATGTGTGTTCCCTCTTTCAGTATGGTAAGCCTTTCCTTTTGGCTGATGACCTGAAAGTAGTTTATTCATTCTCTTCTCCCACGAAAGAAAGCTATATTTCAGCGGTAATCCAGGAGGAAATAAACAAGTTGTACGAATGGACTATTTCGTGGAATATGCCACTTAATGTTGACAAAAGTGGATTTATTCAGATTGGTCGCTGTCTTAACTTAAATCTGACTGTACAGACACATACACTCAAACCTCTCAACACTGTTCGTGACCTGGGTTTAAGATATAGCAACAGTCTGAACTTTTCTGAGTTCATTGTATCTCAAGTATCAAAAGCTAGAAAGCTCATCGGATTGATAATGATAAACTTCAATAATATAGAATCGAGTTATTATTATACAAAAAATGTATCTTGCCCATTCTTGAATATGGTATTTTAGTTTACAGAAATTGTAGACATAATGACCTGATTAGAATTGAAGGTGTTCAAAGAAAGTTCACCAAAGCTGTTCTGGGATATTCCGATAAAAAAGACTATTACCAAAGATGTCAACAACTCAACTTAGAACTTCTTTGGATCAGACGTATCAAATTAAATTTTGTCTTTATCTACCGGCTCATTAACGGTATTTCCTACTCATCGGTATCCACCCCTTCATACCTTATGATATCATCCCACAATCTACGCAATAAGGAGAACATTCTAGCGATTCCAAGAACCCACACAAACTTACGTCAGAATTTTTTCCTTATTCGCTACTCAACCATGTGGAACAGACTGCCAGTGAACCTCCATTGCAGTGAAACTACAACCCCGTTCAAAAGTCTCCTTGACGATTTTCTTTCCGAAAGTGGATTATGTCACCTATTGAATATCAATGTATTCAATAATGATTTATACAAACAAGGTCCGTCATCTATTTAATTGCTTGAAAAGCGAAATGAAACCTTTAAATCTTTTCACGTCTATTTTATTTTATTTCTATTTATCTTAATATATGAAGTCTGCTTATGTTCGTGTTTATCATTATTACCGTTATTAATATCATTATTAGTTCCACGACACATGAGGTATTCTTTTTATCTCTTCTTATCCTTCTAAACATATTTAACTCCAGATTGTCCTTTGAAATCAATTTTGACTTTCATAGCATCAATCTTAATTATTATTGCACAAATCTTTATACTAATATCCGGTTTCATTCTGTATATAAATGTATTCATCCGAGTGCTTTAAAGGATTTTTATTTTATTTTTTCAATTGCTGGTTTCCTTCTAAGGTTGATATTCATTACACAATTATTATTCCAATCGTGAATGAACCTTTTCACTAGGTGTTCACTTCTTTTCTTTCTCTTCTTTCCCTCTGAATAAATATTATTCTTAAGATTACGAAGTTTGTAATTAAAACTATAACTTGTGTTACACTTAAATTAACTTCTCAGAATCGTTTTATCTTCACTATGCATATATGACACATAAATAGTGA